GACTTGGTTCTATGGTAGGTCTTAAAGGGTTAAGATAAAACCTCTTCTCACTAACACTCTGGTATTCATCTCCTTTTTTATGTTGTGGCTTTTGAGCCGAGTCGTAACACAAATTAGAACATTGTATCTGTTCTGATATTTGTCCTGTGAACATAAACTGCTGTCTGAAAATAAAGAATTTCTAAAAATTAACCAAAAGGTGACGAGACTGACACCAATCCCAGCGATCACCTGGTTCACAAATACTAATTAGTTAAGTTATTAAGTTGTCTGGGGCATTTAACCAAACGATTAATGGTGAAGTATATGTGTAAACCATGGCTCATGCAGGTATTCCAGATATTCTTATCCCCAGCAGGTTTTCCCAGTTACTCCTTGGGAATCCTGACGCCCAGCTCATAGATGTATATTCACCACAAGTTCTTGGTCTACCCTGGGGTAAGACCCAGTTGGGCATGCCTGGAAAACCTCCACATCAGCTGGCGCAATGAAAAAGCTTCTTTTAAAAGCCACATGTGTTAGCTCCCCATGTTTGACCTGGCAGGGCTTCATGCCGGACGCCCTTCCCGACAAAGAGAATTCGGGTCTGTGGCTGGAATTAAACAAGCAACCTTTTTCTCGCCAAGCAAACGTGTTTGATGATAGAGGATGTCCAACGCCTTAACTGTCTCGATTAAATGAGACTTTTACATTAAACGTTTTCATTTCGTTTCGTCGTAAGCTGAACGGTTTTGACTGACCGCCACCATCACACTGAAGCCAACAAAAAAATAATAATCTACCAACTTTTGGTTGAAGAAAATTTACTAATTTCACCTTTTTTCATTTCAAAGGTGTTGCAGATGTTAGAGCAGACAGGCCTTTCGTCACTGCTGGAAACAACACCGCAGAGAGCTCGGCCTTATTTACTTCTTAGTACAAACACATAAACGTCCATTGTTTATAAAAAATTAGCCCACGATGTTGGCCTATAAGTTTGCCTTTGATCTCATAACCTTGTGCGTTGGTAACGCTCTAAGTTAACGCCTTTAAACAAATGACTGGGTGAAATGAAAGCCTGCTTGGTCTCACACGTCTTCTCCCCACTGTTTTCTTTTGGTCTGAATTCTTTTCATGACAGGAGGAATCAGAGGTGTTGGTACACAATGTACTAAAATAAAAGCCAAAACAAAGTTCCTGCCTTTCTTTCATAACGAATCAAAAATGGATTTTGAATCGAACTGTGTCCTCGAGGAATTGCACTAAAAACGAACGTTGAGATTTCCTGAGACTCTCACCCACACAGTGAGTTTAAATAGCTAAGCAGATAAGAACATAATTCAGAGACAGATTCTGGGAGAAGATACAGGAAATTAACCCGTTACTGCCTCGTCTGGGTTGGTTTCTGTAGCCGAGAAAGAGCAGTTACGAGATGAATTACAGCACCGATTTGGATTTAGCGTCGCTCTTTCATAGTAAAGTTAAGTCAATATTTATAAGGACGAGCATATCTGCGGAGAGCAGAGGTACGACTCTGATGTCATCGGAATGTTCCGCCTGGAGCTTTTCCATAGACTTTGAATGGGATGGTGAATTAATGGGCTCATAAAATGTTTGTTTGAACTTTTACACCCAAATGAGCTTTTAATTATAGTAGTGCTTTCTGAAGTGAGGCAGAAAATGTGCCCCTGTCTGCATAAAACCATCCTAGTTACTGCCAGTGCCACTGTCAGCACTTTTATCCCCTGCAGTCCAGTTTTCTGTTCAAGTGTACATCTGTGTGAGATCACCTATTAAAGTAGTAAATAACTCCGTTAAGACCAGAGGGAGATAATGACAAGCCAGCTTTACATCTCAAGATGTACTTCAGTAACTTTTTAGTAACTATTTTATTGCACACTTTCTTTGCTCAAGTATGTTTTACAGAAACTTCATTTGAATACAATAATTGTGCTACATGCATTTATTTATAGTTTTAAGTATTTACACACATTCCTAAAATTCCCAGTCTTCCGGTGCCTTGTCCTGTCTTATCGCTCTTGATTTCAGAATAATAGCTGAAGCAGAGCGTTCATGCTGGTGTTGTTTCTTCTTCCCTGAGGTCAGGACATCAGAGAACTGACAGAGAGGAACAAGTGTGTTAATACTGCAGCATTTCAGCCTCGCTCTGTGATGTCATAAAGATCCACCAATGGAGAAAAAACGGTCTGAAACCTGAGCTTTCGGCTCACCAGTTATTGTAAACTCGCCACTCGAGCGTTTGACTTTCACAGCTACATAATATAGGAGGAGTGTATATTCTGATGAGGTAACAGTAACAGTTTTTATCCTCATGTTGTTCACCTTATCAAATCTCACGAACATGAAATACACAGGTGGGTTTTTTTGCTTGTTTTCTCTGTTCCTGACCGGCTGCTGTCTCTATCCAACTCTTGCTATTTGCAGATGTCCTCCTGGTCACATGATCAGTGTAAACGGGACCAAAAAGTCTTGCTTGTACACCCTTTGTGCTATGCGGCCCTGTCACCGCGGGACCTGCGTGGCCCAGTCGCCCTCCAAATTCACCTGCCACTGCCCGGAGGGTTACCGAGGACACCGCTGTGAGACGACACTGGCCATATACAGGGAGGACGTGGGCCTCAGCTTCAGCTCCCTGTTTGCCATCTGTATCTGCTTCATGGCCTTACTGGGTAAGTCCTGTAAATCTGTCAGACTGTATTACTGTCGTGTTTCTACGGCAATACTTCCCATGCTAACTATAAGCAATTTGGAAACAATAATGATGCTTAATATAATGTTTAAAGCTATAACTCTGTATGAATGCAGCCCTGATAGCGTTATCGTGAGCGTACTGCAGCGAGGCGGGAGGTGAATCTGCTTCGTGTGCAGGCTGACAAATGCTGCTATTTTAGTACTGATGAGTACAAAATGACTATTATGTGACAGTGGAGTGCATCATAGGTTTGAAACTGACACTTGAAAAAATTGAAGCTTTCATTCATAAAGTTCGTGCACTCAAAAGTGGGATGACGGTAGAGCGCCAGGTGTTTGTAATTATCTAATCAAGGGCGTTTTTTTTATTATGTGTGAGTTAATGTGTTTATACGTCTCAATGTGGAAACAAACAGAGACACCACGATGGTGCGCTCTGTTTTATCGATCAGTGTTTTTGTTAGAGTGGATTGTTAAATGTTTGTCATTTTTATGTTTACCATTTGTAGATTGTTTTAAGGTATTCTTTCTGTCCTCCCCTCCCCAGATTCTCGAGAATCTGGATGGGGGGCAGTAGTATTTTTAATCACAGGAACATCCTTATGAAGGTCTGTTTGATGTTGGTAAACTTCCTCCCCTTTGTATGGCTTCACTGTGTTATCTAGGGTGAACCATCTAGGGTGTGGGGGAGACTACCCTCTTTATGATCAAGGATGTTCCTCCTGCTTTTATGTTATATGACCCTTTGATCAGCAGGATAACACACACACACACACATACACTCTTACTTAAATACAGAAGTTCACACATATACATACAATGCCTGTCTTAGAACCAAGGGAGTGTGGCCAGGGCTGGACTGGGACAAAAAATCGGCCCGGGCATTTTGACTAGAGACCGGCCCACCAAAAATGTGACGTCATTCAGGGGTAAAACCGCAAA